ATCCTCATATTTTTCCAGTAGAAAAACCAAATATGGAATATGTTTCCACTTGCATGTTGTCATGGACCATGATGCTGGCCCCTCCTCTCTGGGGGGAAGGTCCAGAGAGTCTAAGGAGGAAGAGACTGAAGTCATGGATTCAACCCATTAAGCAGCGTTCCTCCAGAAGCACCTTCAATGTCCTGGAACAGCCCCCAAGAATCCAGAACATTTTTCTCACTTAGGGAAGTCTTTCTTCCTTCCTCCTCACACTCAGAAGCTACTGCCCCCAAGACAGCTCCAGCTCCAGAGTTCTCACCTCAACAGCCATGTTGATACCCCAGAGTCCTGGAAGCAGGCTCACTGGTATGCCCAGCTCCATAACTGAGTGTGACCCTTATGATTACAAGCAGAGGGATTTAATTCCTTCCAGAGATATATGAACCTACACCAGCAGCAGGACTACTTAACCCTTCACTCTTTGTGGAGTAACACCCTAAACTTCCCATTTTCTGGTACCCAGCCTAAGCATTCTTGCCACAGATCAGTCAGAAGGTTCTATGGAAAGTCAATGGGAGAATATGTGGGGTGTTCTTTCTATCAATTATGCATCTATCACATTTATTCTTCCTCCAAGGAGCTCAGGATGACACACATAACTCTCTAATCCTACATTTATCCTCATCACAATCCTGTGAGATAGGATAAGGTGATTGTGAATGGGCCAAGCTCATGTAGTGAGCTTGTGTCCTAACCTCCTTTTCCTCATTGTAGGTACTTCTGCTCACAGAAGAGGGGGAAGACTGTTTTTGTCAATACTGCCCCACTTATTGCAGCCCCCCTGTTGATTCTGGGATCCATTGATCTATATAGCCCAATAACATACTTCTAAACAAATGGCCACAAAATTGCCCCCATACATGACCTTTTACACATGCTCAAGTTAGTCTTGATTTTCTTTGTAATCGACCCACAAACACTGGAATTGGTTTGGACATGGTTCTTCTGCATGCTTGCCCTCCCTCTGCATTTTTACAGCTGTGGAGTCAGTTTATTTTCTTCCACAAATGGCTTAAATAGTGAGGATTTTCAAGGGAAGGTGCTGTTGTCATTAGTATTGTTATTGATGGTGTCAGGGCACCCTCCCCCCATTTTTCAAAAAAAGTGGTCCTAAAATATCAATATATCACTGTGGTGCTGTAATGATAGTTTAAAGAGCACTCTGAATTCCCAGCTTTCATTTTTAAAAAAGCCTCTAGCCCTTTCCCTTGAGAAAATATGCCTTTTTCCTTATAGCTCTGCGAGTGACCAAGTTAGAGACTTACCTTTTAAAAATGAAAGCTGGAAGTTCTCAAAAGAGATGGGGGGGAGCCCGGGGGGGGGGGGAACCAAAAAAACTAAAGGGATAGAAAGAAAAAAGCATTTGGAAATCAGGAGTTATAATGGGGCCAGAACTGACACACACACACACAAAAAAAACATGTAGAGAAAAGTTACATCTCTACATTTTTCAGTTTATATGAATGCCACAAAAATCCTTACAGTGGAGAAAATGTGTGTTTTATTTCTTTCCTTCTCAGTAAAGCTAACTTGATCCCTATTATTAAATATTAGAATGATACCTTCCTGATAGGGTATATATTTTTCATAATTCCATACTACAGTCTTTTGAACCTTTTCTTAGATGTTTCTACTGTTTACCTATGTTGGATACCTCTACTGGAATTAGGAAACCAAGCTAGACAGACTAAAGTCAGAAATACAAGCTTGAATGGATATTTAGTCAGATAAAAAGATTTCATAGTGGTTTGGACTTGATGTTGCTGATGTAATTCTATATCCACTGAACACTATACCAGTGTCATTTTTTCTGTGATATCACACATCCACCTGCAGAAATTAGAATTTTTCATTCTTCATGATACCCGCAGGGTTGTTGTGAAGATAAAATAGAGAAGAAGAAAATAATGTAAGCAATTTTGGGAGAAAGGTGGAGTAGAAATGAAACAAGTAAATCAAGCTCCCATTACAGGGGCAAACTAGGTGTAATGGTGGCTAAATCTAGCCATTTAGAATTGCTGAAACAGGCTATTTGGATTCTGCTGGCACTTTAAAAGGTGCAAGAGATGGGAGACCACCTATTGCTGCCATGCCACAGGCCCAACTGAGCCCGTGGCATTTTTAAATGGCTAAATGCTCTTTTTATTTATTTATTTGTTTTATTTACTTGGACTTTTACCCCACCCTCCCGCCAAAGCGGCTCAGGGTGGCTTACAACAATTTAAAATAACATACAATATAAAACCAGCACTTACAGATATAAAATACAATAAATACAGTAAAACTAAATAAATACGGCAGTGTCCTATGGTAAAGTGCTAGTGTGACCCAGCCACTGCAGTCAGTTCTTATTTAAACGCTTGGTGAAACAGCTCAGTTTTCACCGCTCTACGGAACTGCTGGAGGTCCCGTAGCGCTCTAATTTCATTAGGGAGCTCGTTCCACAGCGTTGGCACCACCAGGGAGAACGCCCTGGTCCTGGTTACCATCAACCTGGCCTCCCTAGGCCCAGGGGGGCCCAGGTGGTGTTGTGATCCAGACCGCAGTGCTCTTGGAGGAATGTATGGGGAAAGGCGGTCCCTCAGGTAGGCAGGCCCTTCTAAAATGATGCTGGTGGCCACACATTGGACCAGTGTCCACTATAATGTGTAGTTTGACTCTTAAGAGTCTGATCAGATGGGCACTTCAATCCAGTCCACTATTACCCAGCCTCTCATTGAGCCAGATTATTTTGTGCTAGAAGAATCATGACTAGACTCACCTCTTTTATTGCGATTCAAAGTACTTCTACTGCCCCTGGAGTAACCAGACGGCAGCAGGCAGGGAGTCACCTCATTGGCCATTTTTTCAAAAAGTTGGTCCTTGGAGCATGCTCTCAAGCACTTATCAGCCTGCTGGGATATGTAGTTCATGGGGCTGTCCGCTATTTTTTTAAAAAATTACCTTCTGAGCATGCGTACAAACTCTTGCTAAGACTGCTGGGATACGTAGTTCACTGCCGTCCTTCTAATATTTTAAACTTAGTCCTTCCTCAAAGGACAGAAAAAAGCTGAAGAACAGCGGCATCTTTCTTTTAGGCTTTTAAAAGAGAAAACAGAGCTTTGAGCAGTCCCTGTGAGGGGTGCAAATAAGCAGTTGTGCGCATCTCACTAACTACTTTTTAAAAATGGCAGACAGAAAACAAGAGGAGACCTGCCTGATGGCTTGGTTGCGCAACAAAAGTGCGACCAGACCGCAGGAAATCCGCTTGGGAACCAGCTCAGACCAACAAGACTGGATTTTCTCAGGTATCAAATAAATGTGTGGCAAGGGGAGGGGGGAAGGGAACTCAGATGACTGGGGATCGACAGACAGATGTTGCTGTCTGATCATGGAGTTTAAATCCATTAGGGAACAGCAAGGGCAATGGATCAAACTGCCCGTATGAACGTGACCTTAGTCAGCCTCTTACAGGAGTTAATACCATTTCAGCTATAATATCAGTCCAAATTTACTTCCTTTTTACTATTGCTTCATCAGTGGTGATACTTTTGGCCACGGAAATGTTCTTACACTGTACTAGAGGAGTTACAGCCACATCCTATTACAACTGTGGCGGTTGGCCACATACTTCAAAAAGAAGTAACAAGCCAGATGGTATATCACCCATGTTGTAACACCGAGTAAAATGGCTGAATTCATATGCGGCCTATTTTGTCTGTGTTCCTTGAACACATTTGCACAATACACATTCAGCACCATCTTGGTAGTTCTGGCATGAACAGGCACCCTCTCATCTTCCTTAACTTCAGTGGATAGGACAGGGGTTCTATATATGCTTCTCCTTTGCTTAAGTAGGGCCCCTGCCACACGGGCAGGAAACTGCAGAAGAGAAGTGTGGCTGTTTGCCCCGGGGCAAACTAACATGCAGTAAAGCGATCAGACCTACTGTGGAGGTTCTGTGGAGGTACTGTGGAGGTTCCATGGCAAGGGAGAGGTGCCGATCACAACACACGCCTGCGCGCAATGAAGAAGCGCGCGGCGCGGCGAACTGGTTTTCTTTTTTTGTGTACACTACGAATGCGCATGCTCCGTTGGGTGCGTGTGCGCATCCACGGAGACGTGGGGGAAAAAAACCCCTTTTCCGCAAGGGGACATGGGCGGGCGCCGGATACCACCGGAAACGCGATCAGACGCCCGCCCTTGCCCCGCAGTTTCTGGAAACTAGTACCTCCAAGGTACTAGTTTTTTGCTGCGCTTTTTCGGCAGGAAGCCTCAGTTGTGCCACGGAAGCACTACGCTTCCCAGATGTGCTGGTGAGATTGCGACCGGAAACTCCGCTTGTCTTCCGTATCTCTTGCGTGGCTAATGTTGCGTGTGACCGCAGCCTAGATCTTCCTTCTTCAAAGAAGTAGCAGGAAAGCACAGACGTAGATGTTTGAAATATCCTTTGTGTTTTAAAATAGTTTTTAATTGTTAACTATGGAGAAAATGGGATAAAGAAGAGGGCAAACTGGACATAAATCACTTAATATATTGAGATCCAATAAAGCTATTTGTATCGATTAGCTAACTACTGTTTCCGTCTTGTTGACATACAAAAATAAATTACCAAATACAAAATCAGCAGGCATCCTTCTGGTGAATGACCTTCCTCTCCTCTGCACAGGCTTATTTGCAAGAGTACACAGACACAAGTGGGCACAAACACATTTAACTTCAGCGCCCAGCAAAGGCTTATTTTGCAAAGAAACACCAAGTGTTAGTTGTTGAAACTATTTTGTGCATTCCCACAAACAAATGACACCGTTCAGAAGGTTTCCTTTGCTGACCAGTAGATAAAGTCTTTGGTGTTGACAATGCTAATATTATATGCAAAATATATATTTTGTCTTTGTATTTTGCAGATTTTTATTGCTTTATATAAATTGCCCAGCAGAGACTCATTTTGAGAAAGACGCTAATTTCTCAGGACTGCACTGGACAGGGTCAGGATATTAGTCTTGCACCACATTTATGGATTACTTAAGAAAAGAATATGAAAGGAAAACGGTTTTCTTCGAGCCTCATGCATGCATAAGTGAAGCAGGTCTGGAATATTTTTAAAGTTATTTCTCTCATTGCTTTGAAAGAGGTGATCTTGAATGAATATTGTACACTGATTTTAGCACTGGTTTCTTTAAAAATAACTATTCCACCTTTCACAAGATATTTCAGTTCATGGTATGACAATGAAGAACCTGTCAGGAAAAGTTCCTGCTTTATAGCTCAAAATTATACTCCTGTGGCTACTTTCTTTTACCACAATTCTGGATAAAACGAGGAGTAAGTTTTATGTGAGGAAATTTCAAAAGCAGTAGCAGAACAAACTGCAAGGAGTTGAACTAATTTGAGTTTTTGAAGTATTGCTGAGCTATTTAGACAGTGAGTCTCTGAAGAACTGCGCTTAAGGTTAGCCTGAATGGAAGTAAATAAAAAAAGCATTGCTGTATTTGCAGATAAATGCAGCTAGTCTAGTAAATGTTTCATAGGATTGATATTGCTCTTGTAAATGTCTTTCTCCACTTAATGTTTCAACCAGCAGTGTTAATTTTCTTTCGGTTCTTTAAGCCTTTTACTGAGAATATCCTTTAAAAACAAAGCTATAAGAAAATGTTCCAATTTAACTGTGCCACGCATATGTACCATCATTGTGAGAGAACATTGTGTAAGTCATTATGTGAGCATTTAAACATGTTATTTTCCCTTTCAGGAAAGGAGATTTTTTGACATAGTCCACGTTGATCAGAGTCTTCCAATCTATAAGAATTTAAGTAAACAAAATTGCCTATTACCTTGGGGAATTATTACTTTCAAACAAGAATGCATATTCCCTGCACTACAACAGTACAGATGCAGATTTGTTTGGATATGTACCTGTGTTCTAATCCACATAATAAAGCCCATCCATGCCTTACTGAACTGATTGAGTGCATCTTTTGATGCCAGTGGAGATGTTCATCTGACTGTGCATTCCCAAGCTCAGAAGTAAGTTCCACTATAATCATTCAAAGTATTTTTCCAGGTAAGTGCGCATAAGATTGCCGCTTGAGGCCAGCAGTTGTTATGCATGGCAATGTACCTGCAGCTATAGCTGGATTTATTGAAGCAAAATTACAGCAGGGGAGTCTAGTTTGTGTGCAGTCAGTGATAAGTGACTCTGGTTTTCAGATGGCAGCAATCCAGTACACACACACACACACGCACAGAGAGAGAGACACACACAGAATGACATTGTAATCAATAGCCCCTTCTAAATGTGTCCGCTTTGCATTTTTATGTATTTTATCAGAAGCAATTAACAGGTAAGACTCCTCTAAGGGTACTTTTGCAACCATCACATCTCAGTGTTTCTTCTGTTACATGTGTTCTGTGTGTTCCTAATTACTATTTTAAAAAGGGAAAGCATGCTTCCAGTTGTTTGCCACAGTTTCATATTTTTCTAACTACATGATGCTTCCTGGAACAGTGCATGCAAGGAAGTTAGGTAGGTTAGTGTGCATAAAATCTGATATCTGGCCTCCTAAGAATGCATTGGCATTTTGTCTAATAGTATTTGTTTGATATGATAGTACCAGAGGACTCTCTGTCACTTGGCCCCAGAGTATATCATTTTTTCTCTTCATCTCGTATTCCAGAATTCTATACAAAGCTAATTTGCTATCAATCTTCTGTGTTCCCTTCTGCACCTGCAACACGCTTCTCCCTATGCCTGAAGTATTGCCACCATTTTATCCCTCTCAAACAAATTCTATTGTCTCCTTTAAAATGCCATTCAAAGCTCACATTTTCCTTTGCTAAACCACTGCAACCTCCCTGCCTGCTTCCAGTAAACCCTTTCCTGCTACCCTTGGTATGCTTTTTCCAAGTGCTGATCTTTCGCTTCACAATTGTTCTGTTGATGTTATCATACAAGGATATCTACTTGGTGAAGTTGTTGTGTCATTTACTATTGATATCTGTTAACAGCTTTGTTATAGATTGAAAAGGCTGTTGAAATGTTTGCTGTCAAAGTGAAGGAAGACAAATTTGCTTTAGTTAATCTGCCTATAGATTTTGGGATGAATGTTTCTCAAAGGATTTCTGGCCATCTGCTCTTTTGATTTCCAATCCTCTGTGAGGAATCTCTGACATAAATCTAGGGCACAATGTAGCTCTTAAAATGAAGTGTCCCCCCCTTTATTATTTGTTTAATAAAAAAAGAAACCTAAATAATCTTTTTTCAAGCACAAACAGCATAAAGGATATGATTATTTCAATGGACTAAGGTAAACCTGGCTTTGGAGCGAGAAAGAAAAATCTGGAGAAGCATTATGAAAGGAAAATGTGGAGCTCATAAAAAGGAAAGTTGTTGCCCGCAAGGCAACTGTTCCAGCAGTTAGTCATATAGGTACATCCCTATATCTCTATAATTTAAACACACGTTATTTATTATTATTGTTATCATCATCACCATCAGCGTGATGTAGTGGTTAAGAGTGGCAGACTCTAATCTGGAGATCTGGGTTTGATTGCTCACCCCTCCAGATGAAGCCTAATAGGTGACCCTGGTCCAGTCACAGTTCTCTCAGAACTCTCAACCTCACTTACCTCACAAAGTGACTGTGGGGAGAGGAAAGGAAGGCAATTGCTTTGAGACTCCTTAAGGTAGAGAAAAGTGGAGTATAAAAACTTACTCTTCTTCTACTCTTATTCTTTATCATCATCATCATCTACCACAACCAGCTTCCCTGGAAAGGTGGCATAGAAATGGTCTATGTGCATTATATATGTATTTATTTAGGAGATTTTAATGTTGTCTCTCCAGAGTGCTGCTCAGCACATCAAACCAAATCTCTGTGGGCTCAGTAAAACAGTATTTATTTGTTGTTTGTTTTCTGAGCAAGGTTTTATCTCCAGATGTCCATCAAAGCTTGGCTGTCTATGAACAATTGTATGATTGGAGCAATTTGTTTCACTACATCTACAAGAAAATTAAGTAAAATTTTGTTGGGTAATTTGCCTCTTAAATAATCTATGTAAGAACTGTGTATTCTTTGCTATACTAACTGGCAGGAATAGCTAAATGCATGATTTTGTTGATGCAGGGATCTATTTTCTTTTCCATAGAAAGAGGCTGCACACAGTGAGTGGTAAAGAGATCAATCTGAGAACATTCAAGTCTGAAAACCAAAAGCTGTTCTAAGTGTAAAAGCCTGGGTTTGGTCTTAACAAGCAGTGATAGTAGAAGCCCAAATGAGTTGCCCATGGTACAGCGTATATGTCATGTCTCTGCATCAAGGCCACACACTTCCCTATAGGGGGGATATATGACCCCCTCCTTTTAATTATTATACAGTCTGCAAGAAAACAGGAAGCAATGTTCACTGAGTGATTGTTAGAGTACTTGAAGTTTTTCATACTGTGAGCTTCTATAAATTCCAGTTTGCACTGTCAGTGATTTTAGGTATGGCTATTCATAGATTCAAGTGGGGGACCCACAAACACTTGCAGGAGGCGCCTCATTTTCCCTTCCCCCTCTATTTCCTTTTCCCTTTCCCTGAAATACCCCATACCTTTTCCCCTTTCCTGGTTCTTTCTCTCCTTCCCAGTCACCAGCCAAACTACCTTTTATCTGCCCCCCATCTCCAGCTGTAGTAATCATTTATTTACTTCATTTATACCCCACCTTTCTCCACAATGGGGATCCAAAGTGACCCAGCAAGCTTACACAGCAGAGTGGAGATTTTTACCTGGGTCTTCCAGATAATACTCTGAGGCTCTAGCCACGACACCTCACTGGCTCTTCTTTTGGCAGTGTTTTTTTTTTGTGTGTGTGTTTTTTAAAGCAGCTCCCTGCAGTTGCTGTGTCACTGCAGGAAACACTTGAAAATGAATGCAAACGTGAAAAAATTTGCCTCTGAGAGCATTCATTACTGCAGCTGCTGCTTCTTTTGCTGGGGGGTTACCCCCCTCCCGTTTAGATCTGAAATTTTTCTGCAAACCTGGGGCATTTTGCAGGTTTATAGAAAGATATATTCTGTCTGTTTATGGTTCCAGTCTCTGGATTTAAGTATCCACAGAGCCATGGTGAGAATTAGATATATTGATATTTGCCTTACAAGCAGTTCTTCTGTTTTCTTGTTCTATATGTACAATCCAATTTATATTTCTTGATGAAATCAGGATTCATTAATGGGAACAACTAAAAAAGGACTAGTTTCAACCTTTAGATCACATGTTATTATTCATTTTGACATTTTTGTATAGGTTTTTATGGAAAAATAAAAGCATTTTCTGCTGGAGCTTTTCTGGAATCATTATAACCTTGGCAAAACTTGGAAAAATGTTGAAAAGGGGCTGTGAATGTTTATCACTATGAGCACGTACCTGCTACCATGCTCTGCTGGAAATGTGTGATAAAATATTTTTTTTTATCTACTTTTAGTAAACCTATACTATTGCTAAATCAATGGATTTAAAGAGTTGATATTGTTTGATGTGCTTCTCATCATAAAAAGGCCACCTGTTCATCTATGAAAAATTGGGGTTAAACTGTGAAAAGCATAATTTATGTACACCCATATGTACTACTTGGGTTTCTAAGGAGTACCTGGCTAGCCATAGTTGGAAATATGGTGCCAATCTGTATACATTCACTCTCATTTTTGTATCTATAGTTCCCTTCCATTAAAATTGATAAAATTAGACAAGCTTAACTTTGATTGAGCTTACTGGAAAAAACCTTGGAAAATATATTTGGTTAGATGTTGCTTTAATTTTCTGTTTTATACAACCATGTGTGAGGAAAATATTTTGTTTTTATGGAATTACAGGCTTAAATGTTCCAAAAGAATTAGAAGGCTAGCCTAAAACAATTCTGTTTATCATATAATGTTGGTTGTTTAAGAATGCAGGTCACTTTGGGATAGGAGTCTTAGCAGCTGTTTGGGAAGACTTTTACAGGTGAAGAACATTTGTACTGTGGTCTCACCAAATGGTGATTATTCATGCTCAAATGTGTGCAAGATTTTAGCTGCCACCCAAGCATTGCTTAAAGCAAAGTCTGAAGCACATTTAGGGGCAAAACAGGTGAAACACCTGAAGAATTTTGAGGGACCCAAAAGTCAAATTTTCTTAGGGCTGTTGGCACATCTTGATTGTCATCATACTTTACCAAAAGCAAAATGGAAGCTAAATTGGAGGTTTCAGATGAGAGGAAGTATCTAATACATTTTGAGAAAAGCCAGAAGTCTAAAGTATAGTGCATTACTGCATTAACATCTCTCTGCAAGACAGAGACTATGCATTGCTTAACTAAATAGAAATTTTAAAACTTTACTGCTTTGAATTTTATCTAAGTTTGCTACCGTCTGAAGTCTTATAGTTTGATACACTTTTCTGTTGTACCCTTATCTCAAACATTTGTCTACACTTATTTGGACTCGTTCTTATTTTAAGTACATTTTAAAAAAAATTGTTGCTGTTTGTCCATCAAGTCACAGCTAACGTATGGTGACCCCATCAGGGTTTTCAAAGCAAGAGATATTCAGAGGGGGGTTGCCATTGCCTGTCTCCATGTCACAACCCTGGTAACTCTTTGGTGGAAGGTCTCCCATCCAAATACTGGCCAGGGCTGACTCTATTTAGCTTCTGAGATCTGACAAGATCAGGCTAGCCTGGGCTATCCAGGTCAGGGCAGTATAAAAAATGGAAAATGGAAGGAAAAATAGTTTTTCAAGATACCACATGAAACAATAAAGTTCATAAACTTGCAAAATCTTAACTGCTCCTTTGTTTCCATGTATACATTTCTACATGGGTTATTTGACCCAGATTCAATGCTGCTGTGAAGTGGTTTCCTGCTTTCCCACAGCATTGTGGCATATTCATCCATCTCCCAGGGTTTTCCCGGATTTCTCTGATATGTCCCAAACTTTCTTTGCTATGAAGATTTAGGAAAGATAGCAGCAAAACCTACATGGCTACCAAGTGGGTGTGAAAGTTTGGATTTTTTCCATTCCCACCAGTGCATAGCCATTTCCCCTACCACTGTCCCCATAGCAGCAATTCCAACCACCACCGGGGGGGGGGGGCTTTTGATTTTTAAAAATTGGCAAATAAATATTAGAAGTGTGCATGTACATGAAAGCTTATACTTTGAATTAAACTTGGTTGGCCTTAAAGGGACCACTGGATTCAAACTTTGCTCTGCCGCTTCAAACCAACACGGCTACCCACCTGAATCTAGCAAATGAATATTCTAATATTGTTAGCTTTATATCTAATTCTCAACAGTCCCCTATGTGCTGATATCTAAATCTGCAGATAGAGGCTATACTTACCCCAAACAAGTTTTTCTGCAAACTTAGGTGACTCTCTAGGTTTGCAGAGAAATCAGAAAACTTAAAACAATACATTGGGAGGTTTAAATCCCCCACAAAATAAAAGACACATGCACAGACAACACAATTTACCATTGAGGACCTGGCTGCTACTCCTCCTGTGGAACCAATCCAGGCAAAGCTGTGGGGGGCGGTAATGCTGGGAGCCACTCTGGGCCTGGTCACACCAGCAGGCTCCAAGTTCAGCTGCAGTACAAGGGAACTTTGGGAGCTGCTCCAGGCCTGGTTGCAGCAGTGGGGAATGTCAGGAGAGGCTCCAGGCCCAGCTACAGCATGCAGAACACCAGCAGAGACTCCAGGCAGAATTGCAACAGCGGGGAATGCTGAGAAAGACTCTGGGCCTGGCCGCAGGAGACACCAGGAGCTGCTCCATACCTGGCCACCACTGGGAGCTGCTCCAGCTTAGAGCCACTCCCAGGCACTGCCATTGTTGCCGGGCTCAAAGGGAGGAAGAAAGAGGAATGGAGAAGGAAGGGAGGATTGGCTTGGGGGGGAGAGAAAGGAAAAGATGGGGGTATTGGCTTGGGGGGAGAGAAAGAATAGAAACCCAGTTCGCCGCGCCGCGCGCTTCTTCGTTGCGCGCAGGCATGTGTTGTGATCGACGCCTCTCCGTAACCACGGAAGCTCCACGGTACCTCCACAGAACCTCCACAGGAGGTATGATCGCTTTACTGCGTGTTAGTTTGCCCCGGGGCAAACAGCCATGCTTCTCCCCCGCAGTTTCCTGCGCGTGTGACCGGGGCCTGTGTATCATTTATATGACTTCCCAGTTTTCATTTTAAAAAGTAAGGCTCTAAGCCTTTTCATTGCACAGACAGGCCTTTCCCCTTATATCTCTGCATAAAAAGGGGCCAGCAAGAGACTTACTTTTTTTTACTTGAAAGCTGGGAATTCACAGAAAATGATACACAGATTATTATGACATTCTATCAGTATAACAATATTCATTTGCTATTTTTTAAAGCCTCACAATGGCAGGGGGGCATGGTTGCTGCCTTTTTTCATTAGATTCAATCTGGTACTTTCTACAAAGGGACAGTTTCCCCATTGCCGCTGTGCAGCCACACCAGCAATGGCAAAACAACACAAACCTGTTCCTGTGCGGAAACCACCATAACTGAATTTAATTAAAAGAGATACTCAAACTTTTTTCTATATTTCACAATCTGATCATGTATTTGTTTTATGTTGTTCTTTTTTCAGCTAAGACATATTTGACAGTTCATATGCCAATGTGCCAAAGTGATCATATCCAGAAACTGGATTTGCATTTAATTTAAGTATCATTGGTAGTGGAAAGTGCTGTCAAGTCATAACTTATGACAACCCCATAGGTTTTTCAAGGCAAGAGACATTCGGAGGTAGTTTTCCATTGCCTGCCACTGTGTCACGACCCTGGTATTCCTTGAAGGTCTCCCATCCAAATACTAGCCAGGGCTTGACCCTGCTTAGTTTTGTAGATCTAATGAGATCGGGCTAGCCTGGGCTATCAAGGTCAAGTGTCATTAACTATATTTAATTTTGGTATAAAACAATATCCTCTGAATATTTACTATGTCGATGCAAAACATAAGAACATAGTGCTTATTTTCTTTGATGCTTTATCTTTGGTAGTGTACTCATGTACATATGACAATTACATTACACATTATTTCAAGAAGATTGTTTCCAATATCTGGGATACAAAGAACTATACAACTTGTACTGCACAACCAAGGAGGTTTGTCAGACTTGTGTTTCTTGAACAGCGTCCCTAATTGCCTCATGGAAAACTGATTTTTAAACTGAGGAGGGGGGTGTTTGAAGGAGAAAGAAAATCTGCTGGCCATGCCAAAATCTTTGATAACCTGAAATAACTCTTCAGATTTCAGCCAGTGTCCCATAATTTAAGGTTCAGGGATTTTCCATTGTGTACCTTTTCTGACACCCTTTTTGTCCTTCAAATGGAGAATGCTCAGGCTTATTTACACAAAATAATGATGGCCTCATTTTATCGTTTCTTTTTCTGCAACGTACCATTCCATATTCCAGTCCTAGCAGGAAATAAATCCGCCACTGGTCAAAAAGACATGACTTGTGGGTTCAGTTCCTTCTGAAACTTCAGCAAACATGTTGTATCTAAAAACATCATCTGATGTAATGTTTATCAAAGTTCAGCCTGTTCTGTTTTCTAGGCATTGGTGATAGGACTGTTATCAAAACACACCATTACAGCCTTTCTTGCCCTTGACCTTCAGAAGATCAGATGAAGGATATCAAGCCAGTGCTTCCTCCAGAAAGATGAAAAGATCGTATATTAATGTCTGAAAATAAAATATTTTTGCACTGAAAAATAGCATTTTCATTCATCAGGTTCAGAAGAAAGAACACTTGATACCATCATCCAATAAAACAAGAAGTGAACTTCAAAAGATTCTGTAAAGCTCTGTGTTAGAGAAGCATTCTAAAAAAACTGGCTATGCCTAACACAATCACCTATACAACTTTTAAAATCATTAACAGTATCAGGAAAATACATTGATCTTTAGTATATTATTTTGAGCATTCCCACATTGTAACGTTAAAATTCCAATCTTTTGAGTGTATTATAGGATTTTAAATTTTATTCTTCCTTGATTTATTTATCTTGATAGAAATGGAGTTGACTCTGATGAACAGATCCAAATGATACTTGGAATGCATTAGGTTTAGTCAGTTTCAGGACCGTTTCCATTATGGAAATTCCCTTCGAATCCCTCCCCTCCCCCTCCTACACTGGACAGGCAGCTGCCTGTCAGGTGTAGGAGAGGAGGTGAGATGGCTTCCAACACACTCCCCCCACCTCCTACACCTATCAGGCAGTTGTCTGTCAGGTGCAGCAGCGGTTGCAGGGTAATTAAAGCCATGAGGAAGCCTGCCCCAGCAGTAACGCCTTAGTGATCCTGCCAGCCCTGCCTCCACAGTGGCTTCTAATACTCCTCCTCCCTCCCCATCCTACACTGGACAGGCAACTGCCTGTCAGGTGTAGGAGAGGAGGTGGGATGCTTACAGCCACCAGGGAGCTTTGCTCAGCAGGATTGCCTTAGCACAGCTGCTGGCCCAGCCTCCCCAATGCCTTTAAATACAATCCCCCCCAACACCAGACAGGCCGGTGTCTGTCAGGTGTAGGAGCAGGGCCAGGGTATGAATGTTTATAGGGAGATAGTAAAGGACATTTCTAGGAGCCATTTTGATGCGTGCCTCCCTCATGAACGTGAAGAAATGTCCACCACATCACCACTCCCTCACACCAACTCCCTCTCACACCTCTCACCTCTTACTGCCCCCAAGAAAGCTCCTGGCAAACGTCGAGCCAGATACACCAATGCTACAAGGAGGAGGCAACTCAGGAATGCGGCAAAGACATTTGCACATAGTACTCCTGCAGTGCACTGAGCTGCACAGGCCAAGTACTAGCAAGATCACCCTGAGTTGCTCAGAACAACAGTCTCCATATGAGCAAAACAATCCAGGAACACAAGTAGAGAGGCCATCACTTTCGTGGAAAGTAGCAGGAGTTTACTTAACAGACGACTGCTTCTTAAATGGACAGTTCTATGCGGCCTGCTCCAGAGTGAGCTCATCAAGCAGCCCCGTGATCCTAGCAGTTGAGGGCAGAACCACCAATGTGGTCTAGAGAGAGGTCCTTCAGTAGAGAGAAAAGAAGTACATATGTCTCACTTCATTTCTTACACTACAATCTTCTCTGTTAGCATTCCTACAACAAATGTCACATTTCAGATTTCACATCATCAGTATTATAACTGGATTTACAGAACTTAAATACCATAGTGAAGCACAGGTATCAGTCTAGTATATATATATAAAAGAA